ATTTTCTCATAACTATGATATTTTGATCAATATTTAAATATTACAATTTTATTTCATAATCAATTCATTTAAATAAATAATTCTTGCATTTCAAATAAATGTATTTGAAATTAAATGTACTTTTTTTTGTTTAAATAAACAAAAATAAATTCATCATATGATTCAGATTACAAAACTTTTATCGGTAGATTATTTTTAATATTGTTTAATATAATGTACTTAAATAATCAATAAAATGCATTTTGATATTATCAATAGTAATGTTTATTTATTCAACACAATTAATATTTATTTATTTGCTATTTATTTGTTATACTGATTTGAATATAATAGAAAATATTATTTATTTGTAATCTAAATGTTCTCATATATTTAAATGTTAGCTATTTTTATGTTACAAGTTTATATATACTTACTCAATCGAAAAAATAAATTAATTTAATCTGACTTGTGAATAAAAATTTATACTAAATCATATCAATACCCTATTTTCATATTGTAATTTATTTACAATTCAAATTATTAAATATTAAATAATTTAATATTTATATTCTATTGATTATCGATAATAATGCAATAATTATTTTATGCTAAATTTATACATATTTGTACATGTGCAAAATTATAAATAGAGTAAATAACATTATAGATTCAGTACATATGTCACTAATCTCATTATTGTTACTTTAATAAACGTGATGACATTTATATTTCAGTAGTCAGTAAAAAAGTATTTAAAACACATACAATTATAAACAATATTTGTTTTTAACAGTTTTTTATCTCAAGTAAAAAAGCTATTATAACTAATTATAAAACCAGTTTTCGTAAGTTGTTTGCTTCGTTGCACTGCAATAACATTGAGAATATCAATAATTCTTACTTTATTTATTGCTCTGGTGTACAGGTTCACCACATATCATTATTCCTAATGCACATGTACCTTTCTCATACATAAAACGCATATACTATCTGTATAGTATAATGTACATGGCTAACTCACGCGGGGCATGTATGTACTTTTAATGTGAATTTTATGAGTACTTTTATTTTGGATAACTAAATGTAAGTAATCATAATTACTGACTTGTGAGTTTAGAAAGTGGGGAATTTTCGTAAAATAAACAAAATATGTCTGAATATTTTGAATGCTATTTGATAAACAAATAGTGAATTGTCTCAATACGATCTATTGTATGAATACATTGCTGATTTTTATCTAATTACGCGTATTAATTATTTATTTTAAATTTTCCTGCTCATTCAATTCAATTCAGTAAAGTGTATATGAAATCATCAATTGCAACTCTTGGTTAAGTCTGAATAGGTGTGTATCCATTAGAGATAATCTATTCGTATATTATTATTACAAATTTGGACAATTATAATAATTTTATTTTATTTTTGTTGAAATAGTTTTACACCAAAAATGCCAACAAAAAAGAAATTCAACAAAATATGTTCAGTTTGTGGCGAAAAGGCTATCGGTATGAATACATTCAATACTGTACTAATATTCTGTATATAAATATTTTCATATAAAATGTCACTGAATTTGAATTGAAAACTAAATCCGTGTCATATCCCGTATAATTGTTTCAATGAAATATTATGTTAGATATTTAGTACTTTTCAATTATTTTATGTATTCAAAAATACTACTCATTTTATATTCATTAAAAAACTATAATATGATATAATAAGCTAAGAAATCAATAACAAATGTAATTATGAACTAAAAATATATATCTTTCTCATTAAAGGCTATAATTTTTGTGCGATATCTTGCGAGTCGTGTAAAGCATTTTTCCGACGAAATGCCACCAAATTGGATGTAAATTCATATTTTGCTTAATTTTATACGA